TTTGCACGCACCTCCTCAAGCTTCTTTGAGTAGTAGGGTTCATCTTTAATTTTGCTCTTCTTCTCCTCTTTCTTTCGCAACATGCAATCAGCTGCGAAGTGATTCGCACCATTGCAGTAGTGATAACTAATTCCTGAATCTCCTTTTAGTTTCTTATCAGCTTACGCATCTTTCTGTTTTTCTTCATCCTTCTCAAGTTTCTTCTTTTCCTCACCTCCAGCTTTTATGAAACCACTCTTCGCATCAGTTTGCTTCCCTTTTGGATTAAAAGTCTTTTTGAAAAATTTCTTAACTCTGTTATTTGAATAAAATGCAACTGCTTCATCATCAGAATTCATTAAGAAACCTTCATTGTCTGATTCTTCTTTCTCACCAGCATCAATTTCAATAACCTTTGAAACTAAAGCCAAAGGTCCTCCTAGACTCTGTTTCGATTCTTCAAACATTTCTGTAACTTCACTTTCATGTGTTTTCAACTGGTTGTAAAGATCATTCAAGGTGGTTGTATCAAAACCTTGTTGGTTCTTTATCATCATACTCACACTATGCCATTCTTTGCGAAAACCCATGATGAATGTCAGATTGAATTCCATGAGAGATCTTGAGAAATTCCATTCATGCTGCAACGATAAAAAAGCTCATTCAGACGATCATAGTAGTTTTCAATTGTTTCAGCATCCTTTTGTCTGAATTCCTTAAGTTCAACAAGACATTGCTTAATGGAATTGATCTTTGTCTTCTCACTTCCATGATATTTCTCTTTCAGTCTAATGCAAATATCCTTGGCTGTTTTACAACTATGAATTTAATTGTAAACCACAGGAGGCAGAGCACCTCTTAGCTCCCTCATACATCTTTTCTCATTCTTCTTCATGCGATTATGTTGTTCAACAACGTCCATTGAAGAAGCAGATGATCCGATTGTATGAACATTTTCATGAGGTAGAACTTTTCCACTGATACAATTCCAGAGTTCTTCATCAATTCCATTTAAGTAATCCTCCATCCTATCAGCCCACTGATCATAGCACTCATGGATTAGCATTGGAATTTTGGTTGAAGAACCAAGCAAGTGAGAGAAAGAAGTCATGGTATTCATGTTGAAGTTCGCCATTGATGAACACAATAATTTTTCAAAAAAACTTGAAAAACTTGATGATTTTGTGAATTGATCGAATGAATTGATCACTAATTGCTAATCGATCACTCGACTAAACAATTCAAATGCAGAATTGATTCAAATCTGAAGATCAAGAGTGATTTTCAGAACCAAAATGCGCAGAATTTTTTTTGAATAAAAACACTACTCAAAAAGCAAATGTTTCTAAAACGAAAATCAGATCAATGCAGTTTGAATCCTGCTCTGATACCAATTGATGAGAATTGTAATTGAGATTTAGAAAGCAATCATGATTATATGAATGAAAAGTATGAACACAAGGAGTAAATATTAATCAGATCTTATATTGATGAAGAAACTGATTACAAACTAAGCAGAGAAAAAATTATCTCTACTTCTAACCTCAGTCCCTATTTATAGGAAACATGAGTGTACAAAAAATATACTAAGTCTTGAACAATAAGCTTCGCACAAATGAAGACTTAGTAAAATAACTAACATGCGAAACTCAAAACAGACACTTCGACTTTTACAAAAACTAGACTCTACACTAACTACTAGAATTATCTATATAAAAAGAAGTAATAAAAAGAAGGGTTTTCTCTAATTTTGAAAGACTAGAAACTTAAACAATTAACTAACACTAAAAAAAGACAATTAACACCTAAAGGATATAGAAGGTAACTAAGTTCAATAATAAAAGAGACTTCTATTCAGATTCGACTCACTTATTCCTATGGTTGAGTTCATGGAAAAGGCAATGCATTAATATATCATTGGTTACCGATTAATGTGATTAGGTTCACGTTCACTATTACTAATCCTTAGCAAACAGGTTAATTCAGATAGAGGCCAATTAGTTAAACTAACAAGTTTCTTAGTGTTTTGATTTGGATCAACTAAGACTTGTAATATTAGCTAATTAGATTTGGTAATTCAATCAACTCATGTATGGATATTCATCATACATGCTTACACATTAATGTACTTATTTTCTAGTTAACCCTAGGTTCATGTTAACTAATACTAGGCATATAATATTGTGTTCACAAAATTATATGATTCAAGTAATTAAGAAGATCTTCATGGAATCTCAACAACGTGATTGTTAATAGAAAATAATTGTTATCAACACATAAGGGCCTTTAACATGCTTAACAAGACAATTCACTAAATCAAATTAATCAAAACCATATTTCTAAGTTTATCTAGTCTAAACAGAAGTAATGATTTCTTAGCTCATATCTACAACAATTAACATCCTAAAAGCGAAATCTAATGATCGACACATAGTTTATGCAAAAGATTAAGTAAAAAGTATGTATCTTCCCTTTGATCTCCTCTAAATTGATCTCTAGGTTGAATTCTCAGAAACCAGATCTCTAAGAATACTTCTAATCACCAAACAGTCACGAAAATCTCCAAAAGAACTTAAGGTTTCAGGCAATAATATCCTTTATATATATTTCTGAAAAAAGAGGCAACTTGCCGGGTTCCTTAGGTTGACTCGATGAGTTGTTTAATTAAATCGCGTGTACGGCATGTACGTTAAGGTACGGATGGTTCCGGAATATACTGACCTACTCATTGAGTTAATGGCCAACTTGCCGAGTACGTTCCATTTTTTAACCTTTAATTATTCAAACTCAAATTCCAAAGCCTCTAGTTGCTGGTTTTGCTTCCTTTTTCACTCGATCATGTCTTTAAGGATGAAAATACAATTTAAACATAATTAAGTACCTTTTGCTCATAAATCAAGACAAAATAGCCAAAAGAGTATTAAGATTTTATACGAAATATATGATCAAGTATGCACATATCATACACAACGGAGGATCACATAGACTGTCGAATGATGATTCTACCCTAAGTCCACAACCAAACAAGGAACAGGAAATGAGGCTAAATCATTCATTCTTGGAATATACAATCCTAAACATATACAACTTTTAAAGCATAGACATAGCAAATAACTGAGTCGATATCAATTCCATGTAATACATGGCATCAAGTTCTACTGAGCTATAAGGCATCACACAAATCAAGCAATTCTATCGTATGATTCAACAAGGTTTCCTTAGCTTTAATCTAGCATGTAGTTCACATAGCAAGCATACTAATCACAATGCATAAGTATGGGTTACTTGGGAAACACTTACTTGAGCTCGGCTGATTGCATGCATTGCACTCCCCTTTATACTTAAAACAATCTTTTTCAAAAATAAAATTTCTTTTTCTTTTGAAAAGATTATCATTTCCTAAGTTTGAGTTCTGACACACCCGAAAGTGTGCTTCAATCCCTCAAACCAAGGCCCTGATACCAACTTGTAACAACCCAAAAACCAGAATAAAATTGTTCATTTTTAATTAAGAAATACAGTCATTATATTATTCCAAAATCCATTACATAATTACAATGTCAAATCATCAGAGTAATAGTATCAATAAATGTGAATAATGGTGAGGGGAGAATGTAATACCATCACGTCGACCCGTTCCCCTTAGTACCGGAAGTACCTAAAAACATAAATACAACCACTAAAAAAAAGCTTAGTGAGTTTCCCAAAAGTACAACATATCGATCATAAATAAGATAGTGCTATGGGCCAAAACATATTCTTACAAGCGATTTCCGATTGAGGGCCAAATCCCATTCTTATAGAAAGTTGTCAGGGGCCAAATCTTGGTCTTCAACACAGTTATCAGGGGCCAAATCATGGTATTTCACACAGTTGTTAGGGGCCAAATCCTGGTCTTTCATACAATTGCTAAGGGCCAAATCATGGTCTTTTAAACAATTACCAGGGGCCAAATCGTGGTCTTCTATATATATATCTTAAGTATAGCTAATAACCTATATCATAAATAATGGGCCGACCTTGGTACCTTCGACCAATTGATACGATGAGAAAACTCACCTCACAGATAGACGAAAATTTTAAACTAACATGTTGCTCCTAAACTCACAATAACAATCACCTTTACAATTTAAAGTCACCAAAACTTAGACTACCATTCAAAATACCTAAAATTCCGCTAGGTCAAACCCTAGTAAACACCAGGCCAAGTTAACCGGGTTGTCTTAGTCAGTACGTGGGGCATACTCCGCGTGTACGCAGATCGTACCTTGAAGTTAACTAAAGGATGGAACGCTGACCTCATACACTCATTGTACCCTTTGGTACGCCCAGTGTACGAGGCTGCTTGCCAACTTCTTAACCAAGTTCTTTATCCCTTAATCATTCATGTCCAAACTTCATATATAAGTCATATAAGATGTCCTAAGCCATAAAGTTTCCAACTTTATGACCCAACATGGCTATTAAGTCCTTAAAACCAAAACCCTAGCCACTTAACAGAGGAAGCCCATCTAGCACTTGCATGGGGGAAAACTAGTGACCAAGAACCCGAATTTATGACTTAAGACCCCTAACAACTTCTGAAAGGATAACTCAAATGCCTTGGAGTACCTCCTACTAACAAAGGCTATGTTTGGGACCAAAAAGGAAACAACTTAATCAAAACCAGATCTAAGATATTCAATTATCAAGCTTGAAACTTTTTACCTCCACAAGGTAGACAATGGGGTCTAGATGCTAGATCTAAAGCTTTGAGTGCAACACCACCACCAAAATGGCCCCAACAATCTTTACAAGCACAAACACACTTAGGGTTTTTGAGATAAGGAGAGATGTTGAAGGTAAAATTGTGCTTGAGTCCATAAGTGAGCGCAAATAGCATCCAAGCCCTAAAATTTAGGATTTTCACTCTGACTGCGTATTCCATGCGTACCTACATACGCTCAGTGTACCTGCATATGCTCCGAAATACACCTTAGATACGAGGGTGTACGCTCCATGTACTCCAAAGATCTTCAAAATTACTGAATTGCCATTATGGGACTAAACTTGCAAAATAAACATAACTGAAGGGTTAATATGGATACCTTAAATCTAGGTGTTACTACCACCAAATCATGATCTACATTGATCTCATACACGTTTTCCAAACTTCTCCCAGCTTGGATCAAGTCCTTGGCCTCACAAGGACTCAAAAGTTTACCGGTAGCTAAATATACATCATAAAGCTTATTCACCCCATAACCAAATTCTTGAATCTCTAGGACTCGATCCACACTCCCATACAAACCCTCTTTCATAACCTGTTCCAAATCAAATTCCAAACCTTCAACATACATGACTTCACAATGGCAACCTAATCATTCTCAGTTGCATCCCTATCAGAACTCTCGAGTTGAATGCTCAATCCTTCATATGATGTTTCAACTAAACAATAGTAGATCCTAATGCAAGCTTGTCAGGTTCAAGATCAACAATCTTCCTTTTAGTACTAGTTTCTCAGCAAAAACCTCATTTGTCTCAAAGATGCGACCCTCTAATTCAGAAATTTTATTTTGTAACTCTAACTGTGAGGATATTAGAGAAGCATTCTTTGAACGAAGGTTATGCATTACACTTCTTAAATGAGTCTAATCCTCGTTGGCTGATGGAAATTATACGAGATGATTATCACCTTCAACAAATAAGCAAGCATTTTTGGATGCAACAAAATGAAGAGGCCTAACAAGATCAGACAATGGATAGCTTACTATTTACACTTCCATGTTGGGAGGAAAGATGTTCCCAGTAAAATCAACAATAGTCTCAAACACAGAGAGACATGAGTCTTCCTTTAAATACCACTTTAGATGAAAACCCACAAAACTAGAACCCCATATTTCTATACCACAAATAAAGCAAGCCTAACCACGGCCAAAACCAAGAAAACAAACCGACTCTACCCCACCCTATCACCACCGGGAACACCCAAATGATTAATGGACTCAGGAACAACAGTTTGATCAACACCACCAACTTCTGCATTAACACCCAAATTAGGAACCACACTTTTTACCATATTTTCATCATCAGGATTACCACTAACGTTAGTATGCTAGCAACCTCCGCAAACGCAAATGAAGGATAAGAGCCAAATTCCACACGTCTGAATTACTAACACTCTTCCAAGCAGCCTTTCGCTTATTCGTAAGAGGAATGAGAAGACATTCCTTGCTATCTTCCAAAAACTCTTCCTCCACATCTTTCCCTTTAACATATTCCATCCCAAGAGGATTAATATAAGAAGATCACGAAGGTTGCATACCAACACGACGCCATTCAACATGTCGGATAACAGTGGCCTGCATCATAAAAGCTTCATTATGGTAAGGAAAAGACAGCAACACTTTCCAATAAGATCAACATCACGATACCGGAGACTTCCAACCCATATATGTACTAACACATCCATGGAATCAACCTTCTCAACACCTAAGAAGTAGACAAGCAAGAAAAAAAGGTAGACAACAAGCCTAAGAACTTATATATATATATATATATATATATATATGTATATATATATATATGTATGTATGTATATATATATATGTATATATATATATATGCATATATATATATATATATATATATATATATATATATATATATGTATATACGGGAGGGGGATGAGAGAATAGAAAGAGAAGAACAAGAAAACATGTAATGATTAAACTTTTCTCCATAACATCGAACTTATACATCATTCCTCAAAGCCACTAAGAAGTACTTATCCTAACACCTGCAAAGAAATCATGCGCTACAACTTGGAAACACGACAAAATCCTAGCCATTTGCTCATTATCAGACTAATGAATAAACGACTAGTCATAAATATGACTCGACCAATGATGCATAACGTTGACATAGTCGATATTCACGTAGTAGTAATGACTCTCCTAGTTTTTGGGAGAGTTCTTATGCTTTATCACCAGCACATAATTGTATTGCCGAATGAAAAAAGTGTAGTTCTCACCAAAAGAGGCCGAAACAAACCGTATAAAATGATGGAACACCCATACAATAGGTTTTATCCTATTCGCACGACACACCAACTCAAAGCTACCATCTTCTCCACACCATTCAAATGGAGTTGGTTAAGATGAACCTTGTAGTGATCAAGGATCTCCTAGAAGAAATCAGAAATGGGAAGATGTTAACTAGCACGGAGAGGCTTCACATAAATTCTGATCTTCCCCTCTGGTGGCTCAAAGAATATCACATTTTCCCCAGGAAACATGATGCCATCCTCTGACTGAATACCAAACTGCTTTTTGAGAGCATCAAACTAATCAAGAATAGGGGTGACACTACTCCGAGAATCTATTTTAAAGAGAAGAAAGAATTGAAAGAAAATCAAATTAGACAATGGAGAGAAATAGGAAGAAAGAGCTGAGAAGACATAAAATATAAAAGGGTGTGACTAGACAAGAAATTCAAAAATCCTAATCGTGACAACCAACATCACGTATGGAAAACTTTTATGTTGTGCAATTGAAAAAATACGAACAAAGCACGTTGAGACACAAAGCTTGGAATAGTCTCTCCCATTACAGCTAAGCAACCATACGACCTCTATGGTCCAATGATATATATATATATATATAATTGTGAGACCGGTGTACTACATGAGTTTATTAAAAATGTTATATACGAATGTTTAGACATTTAGCGTGTTAGAATTTATAAGAAAAATGAGAAAAGTATTAAATTATTGAAATTGAAGTGCTTATTTCTTTTTTAAATTTGAACAAATAAGTTAAATAATAAAAAAAAAATATAATAACTAAGCTTTAATTTAGAATTTGAAAATTAAAAGGAAAGTTGTATTAATGAAATTGATATCAATTTATTATTACATTTATTATAATTATTATATTTAAATATTATGTTAAATTTAATAAATTTGAAAAAAAACAACAAAATGACATAGAAAAAATTTAACTTAAAATAATCATAAAATGAAATGCGATAAAATGAGAGAATGACATGTGAAAAAAATTTATTTTCTATCGTAGATATTTCACTTTTGAAATTTCAAAATAAAAAAAAAAAAAAAAATTTGCCTAATTTATGGAAAGTAGTTGAGCCTCTCAAGTAAATAATCAAAAATAAATCTGTATAAAGTAAAATAAAAGAAAAAAAAATATGAAGTGGCAAGCAATATATCCTCTCTAATAAATGAATTTTTGTTTTTTTTGCCATTTGACTCGCTTTCATTTAATTTGTTAAATGTTATTTTGTATTTATTTTGATTTAATTTATTTCCACATGCCATTTTATGGTTTTTTTTTTATTTTATTAAATCCATGTAATATTTTAATGTAATAAGTACAATAAATATAATAATAAATTAATATTAATTTCATTAATACACTTATTTTTTAATTTGAAAATTCTCAAAATTAAAACTCATTGTTTTTTTTCTTTGTTTAAATTACTTGTTTAAATTTTAAAAATAAAAAACATTTAAATTATAACAATGTATTATTTTGCTTATTTTCTTATAAATTAAAAAAATTTAAATAGTTAGATCTCTATAATTAATTTTTTTAAACTATATATGATGCGGCAAATAGAAGGTAACCCGACCTGATGGATCAGGAATATCTGGCGGGCCACCAAGAGGGACACCACTCACCACCAAAGGGAACGAAGAATCGAACCTATGCCAATCCAAGAAAAATTCTCCAAATATGCTCAACCAAAAGTAGAACTCTTGACGTCACCCATTAAAATTTATAACCCAGTATGCATCACAACTAGCTACACTGGTGATCACTTGCAATTAACTCATTTATATAAGTGTTAAAACTAATTTGTATATAAAGAAAGAGAAACTATAACTAACAACGAAATTACAACTAAAGAAACATAGCGCTCTCTCTCGAGCGTTCGGCCACTTGCACCCTTGATTCATTTTGATCTCTCCAAATTGACGGTGCTTTATTTTACTATCACTAAGTCTACATCTCCATTTAATTATTGTGTCTTTCATAGATTGTGATTTTAGAAAAGCACGTTTATTAATTTTTTAAAAATGTAAGGTCGAATAAGATGAGTGATGTTTTTTTTTTTTTCTTTTAGATTAAAATTATGATTTTGATTATTTATTTATTATTTAATATAATATTAGAGATATTTTTTTATATAAAAATGGACTTTTTTTTTTATAAGTTGATCTATTTATATTTCCGTTTGTTAATTGATCTATTGTATAGTTTTAGGTTTATAAATAATTTACTATATACGTACAAATGTTTATTTATTTTTATTTGTTTTAGAAGTTTTAGGAAATATTAAAATTATGATTTTCTTCATTACTTTTACGAAAATTTAATATGTTGATTATTAGTTATAATTTTGAAGCAAATGATTACCAACAAAAGGAATAAAAATTTATTGAATATATTGATGTGTTTTGTATTTTGAGTTTTCCCCCAAATTGAATTTTTTTTTAGTTCCGTCCGTGATATATTTCCACTTTTTAAGGAATAAAAATTTGTTGAATATATTGATGTGTTTTTGTATTTTGAGTTTTCCCGCAAATTGAAATTTTTTTAGGTCCGTCCCTGAAATGTTTCCACTTTTACGGTGTTTTAATTAATAGCTATAATTAGATATGATATTTAATATGCCTTGTGCTATACATGTTATAAAATTATTTCTATTTTATGATTTAAGCCAAATTAGAATTAATATTTCGTTGGAAATATAATATCTTTTAGTTAACCATACTATAAACGCTTCATTTCATTAGATCATCCGGCGGTATGGTGGCCACGAAGTGGGTCATCATCGTGACCCTTCCTTTTCCGGATAATGATTTCAAACAGTCAATAAATTCATTTCTTGCCTTAAATCTTGTTTCACCTTCTTCCTCCTTTCTCGCGGCTATTTTCAGTTTAATTATATTCCTTCAATATTTTCCTATAAAAATACTACCACCCATCTTTTTAGTTTTCATACATTTCTTATCCCTTTAATCGTCATATATTTTTGTTGTTTGATCTTTTAAAAATCATGCCTCCTAAAAATAAGAAATGGTTAGAAGAGGAAGAAGAGAAATTAGTACAAACATGAGTGACGGTTTCAAAGGAAGGCGTTGGTCAAACTTTTGGTTCTCTTTGGAGAAATATTGAAAGTATTTTCCATGGTTTAATGGCTTGTGCAATTTGAAATGTCGATGAAATATACTCGAAGTGACGCGATATGAGGGCCAAATGTTGTGAGTTCAATAGAACTTACAACTACGTTATAAACAACATAAACGAAACCGATATCAATCCGGTTAATGTAGCCA